AATGTTAACTCTTGAGATATCACACAACATAAACAAATATCTAACTCAATAGCTATATCATTGACTTACAACTTAAACGTTAATCCTACAAAGAAGATCGGAATAAAGAATAGAAGAGTATTGGAAAAAAAAATGACAACAATAGGTCTAGACATTATGTAAATCATGATTGTTGTGGTTTTGAAATTGAGCCCCTTCTAAAATGCCTACACCCTACACCCAGTATCAAATTCATATGGGTTCATATCTAAAACCGAATCCATATGCTAATTTATATAATCTAAAGTATTACAATCATTAGGGAGCATTTTTTTTAGAAAATATGTGTTTATATATATATATATATATATATATATATATATATATATAGATCCGGTAAGAAAATATTTTTGGTAGGAAGGTAAGAAGTTTTTTTTTCTACATACCTTTTTGACGAACAAAAGAAATGAATCACTAGATGAATCAAAAATAATATGATTCACCAAAAAAAATCTCAAAAAAACACACCAATGATTTATTTATACAATGATTTCGTTGTTATTCACTAAAATTGTCATAAAAGTTAACTTTTTCTTAATTTACTTAAAAATGAATCATGGAGATGTTTTTTTGGGAATTTTTTCTTGTGAATCATCTTACTCTTAAATTATCTAATGATTCATTTTGTATATTCGCTTAAAAAAATATGTAGAAAAAAAATTTCTTACCTTCCTACTAAAATTTTCCTTCTTATTTGATCTTGATTATATATATATATATATATATATATATATATATATATATATATATATATATATATATATATATATATATATATATATATATAGGGGAGGGTTCATGCGAAAATGCAAATAATTTGCGAAAACGTGAAAACAAGAAAAAACTATGATATTGTGTCACCTCAACTTTATATTTTGGACAATAATCCATCCAAACTTTGAACTACATGATGATAATCGATTATACATAAGAAATTGTTTCATATTAGCAAAGCATGATATTTGACATTTTTATTATAAAACATGAATTTAAAAGTGGTCAAGGATATGAAAAAACAAATAGTTGATAAAACCGTTTTTAAATCTATATTATCATAACACAATCAAATGTAAACTTATTATATTTAATTTATTGCTAATAAATTTAATTTTTATAGTACTTGTGTTTGGTTTTTATAAGATAAAATCTGTTTTCGCGTTTTCGCAAGATATTTATGTTTTCGCATGATCCTACTTGTATATATATATATATATATATATATATATATATATATATATATATATATATATATATATATATATATATATATATATGCACCATAAAATGTTTTTTAAGGGTATATTAACGGATTTTACATAAGGATACTTCACACATTTTCGCATAACTACGTGTTTATAAAATTGGTATTTAAAATAAAAAAATTATTTTTATAAATAGATGTTTCGCATACAAAAATGTTTTTAAAAAAGTTTTTATATGACAATATATTTTTTTCTTATAAATATGATTTTATACAGCAAAAAACATATTCAAACAATTTTTTTAAAAAAAAATGTAAAACTGCATTTTAGATGAGTTAATAACAAACTTTGAAATATGAACCAAAAATATAAATTTTGGATCAAATTTATAAAAAAAAAAAAAAGTTGAAATTTAGATAAAAGTGTAATTTTAAAAATGAAATGGTTTGTTGACTTATTAATGGGTCGTTTGATAGTTACTGATTGGGTTAGAAGCTGACTAAGTTAGAAATGCTGATTGAGTCCATATCTGAATGAGTTTATGTTGTTTGATAATTTATCTGAATGATTGTGCTGAATGAAAAAAAATGACTATATTACCCTTAACCCTTGTGTTGTCTCTTGTGCTGTATAAAATAATTGTAAAAACACAAATTATCATATAAAATCCAAATAGAAATTGCCATACATAATAAAAAAGTCCATCATTTAACGTGAACCATTTAAAACCAACTGATTAGCAATCTGATCACGCAAAGTAGTCATATAGTCAATGGCTTCTGAACCCCATTTTATACCTTTTATGTTTTGGCCCTCACTTCCTCCACCACCCACATTAGGAGTAATCATAGTGTTTTGCTCAAAGTTTGTAAATAATTCATCTTGAATATCATATTACCTTATAAAATTATGGATCGCAACACAAGCAATGACTATATCTCTTTGCACTGAAAAGAGGATAAGGAACCATTTGTTTTAAAATTGGAAATCTCGCCTTAATACACCATAAGCACGTTCAATGATATTTCTAAGTTGTGCATGAGCATGATTGAACCTTTCTTCCTTGGTTAAAGATCTGTTTCTTCGAAAATTAGCTAACCAATACCTACTATTGCGGTAGGGAGCCATAAATCAACGGGTATTGGTGTACACGGCATCACAAAGGTAATATTTATTTATAGATGATTGACAAATTTATCATATAAATAATATAGATAATAAAAAGTATAGTACAGTTACAAACCCGGTGGAGGGAATGGAAATCCGGAAGTCGAGTTAAATGCAACTTCTTTCAAAACATTATAATCATGTGCTATACCCTCCCATTCAGCCCATACAAAGGTGAATATCATATCAAAATTACAAATTCCAATTACATTTTGATAACATTCACCTTTTCCTCTTCCCCTATAATGAGTCTGTTGATCAACGAGCACAACTGCATGTATAAGTGTTCAATCTAGTGCACCTATTGCTCCGGGAAATATGTGCATTAACCGTCTATGTCGTTCTGAGGTATTTCTTGTTGGAGTAGACGAGGTTGGTACTATAATTTCTCATGCAAAACACATCATTGCACGTAAGACCTCATGAAAACATTGATGAATCGTTTGTGTGGAGTGATGAAATCTTTCTTTAACAGCTCGAAAACGTTCATTATGTCCTATAACATGTAAAAACATAACCATCTTCTCTTCAATGCTTATCGTACTACTATATTGCAACCAATTTCCTTGTGTAAAGTGATTGCATAATAGTACAAATGCATCTTGTGAAAGATGTATCATATCGTAACATTGTATAGGACATCCGTGTATCAAACCTTGTGTGTACACATACCCCTTTGCTACCTGTTCGCTAGCTCTTATTCTTTTAATTATTTTTTTCCTTTGTCGGACCAACATCAACCAATACCACCAGAATATAAGGAAATATAAAAAGTCACCTTCTTTATCCATGTGTCCTGTTAGATGTCAAATACAAATTACATTTAAATCAATAACATAACAATCAATAACATAACGATCCATAACATAACAAACCGTAACATGTAAATACTAAAAGCATAACATTCCATAACATATAAATTCATATAACATAACTGCACCTAAGAAAACAATCCATAACATAACTAAACCATAGCATACTAATGTCAAACAATTAACCATAATGTACTAAATTCAAACAATGATCCATAACATACTAATGTCAAACAATGAACCATAACATACTAAAGTCAACCAACTAATCCAAACTTTATTCTCGCATTTGTTACCCACGAATCACAAGTTGACAAGTTAAGGCGTAACCAAAATTTCTTATTACCAACACTTTCAACAAATAACATAAGAGCAGTGGTGTATTTCGGATCATATTCTCCCCACTCCAAGCTTGTCAACCTCGCCATACAAGCATCCACCTCCTTGTCAATATTATTTGCTTCTGTGAATGCTTGTGCAGCCTTGATAATTTCTTTTCCAACTTCTTTCAACTTATCATTACGTGTGGTTTCTTTAGGACCATTTCGTTTGCCCCTCTTGTTTTTTGTCTGCCCAGATGATTCCTCACTAGTAGGTTGAGGTACTGTTGAGCTTGGGGTATCTGGATGAGGTGTTGGCTCTTCCATCTATGTATCCTCAAAATCATGTGTACTGAAGGTTTCATTGGGATGAGGTAGTGTCGAAGATGGCCCCCAACTATGAACACCGGTCGAGGTCACCCCATCAAATAGTAGGGTACAAAGTTAGGGCAAGGGAGGGGTGCATTTCTCAGCTTATCTACATACTTGTTCAACTGTTTGAAAATTTAATAAATATTATTAAAGTAGTAAAAATATAATTTAATATAATATATATATATATATATATATATATATATATATATATATATATATATATATATATATATACCTTCGCTTTCACTTCCCATTCTTCATTAGTCATGTTAAAAGAATTTGTTACGAGATTATAAAGATTTCATGTTTTGTTTTTAAGTTTTAACCAAACTGCATACCCCGCTTTTAAATAGTCGTATCGGTTTTTCATTTGTTTTTTGTCGACAACAAAATTATGATCGGTTTTCAATTTCTCCGCGACCAGAGCCCATGAGCTTGCTTTTAGGCCACTACCCTCCCGACAATTACTTGTTAATTCTTATATACACGCTTCCAAAAAAGTTTGTCCACCAATTCCGACTTCCTACTAACCCTAGTTCTTTTATCCGTCATGACTATTGTAAAAAAAAAAAAAAAAATCATCCACATAACACACATTTACAAATAAATCAATTATACATGTGATTTCATCATATTTTCAACAACATATAACAATCTTTTATAAACAAAAACACATTATGAACTGATTTTATAAGCATACAACAATCTTTTATAAACAAAAACACATAAATGTGATTTCATCATATTTTCAACAACATATAACAATCCTTTATAAACAAAAACACATAAATGTGATTTCATAATACAAATAAATTTTGATCTCATAAGCATATAACAATCTTTAATTTCTGATTACACACAAAAATGTACAACATATTCAATATTTTCTGATTTCAGCAATGTAAAATCTGATTTTATTCAAATATTATCATGTCAAAAACACATTATGAAATCAGATTTCATAAACAAAAACACATTATGAATTGATTTTATGCTAACCCTTCAATCTAATTGAATCCAAGAATAATGAAAGAAGTAATTTCAAACTTTGATTTCAAAATGAAATCAGGAATTTGACAACAAACATGAAGGGTTTTGTGATTTCAGGAAAAAAAAAACGCAGAAACATTACCTGCAGTCGAGCTCGTCACCGACACTATGTTGTCGTCGCCGGAGAAGATGGCGCAGGAGGTGAACCCGCCGTAGAAGATGTTGGCGATGGAGGCGATCAGTAGGTGTTGGGGATCAGTTTTTATCTAGGGTATTGGCAAAGAAGGCTGGAGGTGAGCAAGGGCAAAAAACGAGTAGCTTATTTTCCAGTCAGGAGGTTTTTTTGACTGACCGGGTAAGTGGAATGGGCTTACCGAATCATCTATAATATGTAATTATCAGACATCTCGAATCAGCATTCAACACTGACCGGATCCGATAAGTTCAAATCAAACAGACCCTAAGATGATCAATATGAATATATGTGTGTGTTTGTGAGATTAATTAAATTATATATATATATATATAATATATATATATATATATATATATATATATATATATATATATATATATATATATATATATATATATCGATTATAAATTCATGAAGTTTTTTCAATGTTTTGGTATGGTGCTATTTGGAATAACAATAATCAAATAATCATTATATTAATTGTAACGCAAAATGAGCCCTTCTTAATTATCTCGTCAACTCCTCGGAAAGATTATTGATTATTCTATAGCCCTTTTACTCTCTACGCACCACTCCGACCACATCCACCAACCATGCCACCACCAAACCTTCCTCCACTACCCCCGCCACCACCGTTCTTCTGGGGTGAAACACCGGAGGAAGAATACTACAAATCCCAAGGCGTCCGGAACTCCAAATCCCACTTCGAAACCCCTAACGGCAAAATCTTCACTCAGTCATGGATTCCACTAGACGAAGACCAACCAGTTAAGGCCGTCGTGTTTATGACCCACGGGTACGGATCCGACTCCAGCTGGTGTTTCCAAAAGATCTGCATCGCATACGCCAAGTGGGGATACGCCGTCTTCGCCGCCGACCTCCTTGGTCACGGCCGCTCCGACGGACTCCATGGATACATCGGAGACATGGATAAAGTAGCCGCAACTTCACTATCATACTTCCTTAGTGTTCGCCGGAGCGAACAGTACAGTAATCTCCCAGCCTTTCTTTTAGGCGAATCGATGGGCGGACTGATCACCATTCTTATGTACTTCCAATCGGATCCGGACACATGGTCCGGCTTGATCTTATCTTCCCCACTTTTAGTAATACCAGAAGGCATGATTCCCTCCAAGGTAACATTTCAATTTCAAATTCTCAATCATCCCATTTTTTCCACAGATCCCAGATCTAGATCGATTGTTTAATTTGATTCACTGATCCAATTACAACTATGGTGATTTCTTGATTAAAGCTACATTTAACGATGTACGGACTACTCTTCGGACTAGCGGATACGTGGGCTGCGATGCCGGATTCTCGAATGGTGGCGAAGGCGATCAAAGATGTTGAGAAACTGAAGATAATAGCGGTGAATCCAAAACGATATGCCGGAAAACCGAGAGTGGGGACGATGAGAGAGATTGTGAGGATGACAAACTATGTTCAGAACAACTTTGAGAAGGTGAAGGTGCCATTTTTTGTTGCACACGGGACATCAGATGGGTTGGCGTGCTATACTGGTTCAGAGATGTTGTATGAGAAGGCTGTGACTGCTAAAGAGGATAAGACGTTGAAGCTTTATGAAGGAATGTATCATTCGTTGATTCAAGGGGAACCAGATGATGCTGTTGCTCTTGTGTTGGGGGATATGAAAGCTTGGATTGATGAAAAAGCTCAGAAGTTTGGGTCTAAATGTACCACTGATTAATGCTTTTCTTCTTCTTGAAGATCCTTTTAATAAAACTGGTAAAAATAGTGTGGATGTTTTGTAGTTTGAATGTTGTATTTTACACTTGATGAAGGGAATTGAGGGAGAAAGTTCTACAGGCTACTTTATGGCCGGATTATTTGTTGTGGAAATATAGAAAGAAGTTGCTACATTTTATAAAAACAAAGGATAGCAATAGCTTAACATGATGAGTTTTTTTTTGTCTTCTTTTTAATCAATAATTGTCTTGCGTCGTGTATTATTGTACCTTCTTGGCTTCTTGTTTTAATAGAAAGTTAGATACGACGATGATTCAAAAAGGGTGATGTTAAGTAAACCATTTGTTTTAACGGAATAACTGTAGTTGACAAAAGTAATTGCCAAATAAGGGTGTGTTAAATTTTATTTACGAAGTAATTGTGGGTTTTTTTTAAACTAAAAAAGAATCCTATTTGACTACAACGTTTCATTAACGTGATTCTTCATACCCAAAGAAGTGGAGAGGATGTCTATTACAACTTACAAGTGGAAAGGATGTCTAATACGGAAAATGATTGCAATTTTAATTAGGTAAATATCACTATAATCCAGCCATCTTTCTAGTGGCTCATCCATCCTTCTAATTATGGTTTAAATGGTCCTTATTTTTTTTCCCGCATTTGAGAGGAACCAAGTATTACGTTACCGGCTAAATTGGTCCGTCTACATGTTTTAACAGGTAAACTGTACACGCCATAAGCATAGTCTGCAAGTGAGTACACTTAGAGTCCATTTTAAGTTAACTCGTGTACATGTCAGTGAGTTTGTGACTGGTTCTTTGCTTGGGGCCTAAGGGTCATGTGGATCCATCAGTCAATAAAATGAATGATTTATTCAATGAAACTCTTCTTGAATACTCTTT